TATACACATTCATTTCCTATGGAACCATGTGGATATATTGTTGGCATCAGTAATTCTGGTTATCGTTGTAAAGACGGCTGTTGCTGCTGCTGTCACTAGGGCTTTTGGTTATAACATAAGGACATCATTTCATGTAAGTTGACTGGCTAAGCTCAGAGAACCAGTGTTTGCTAATATTAGATAAGTTGAGAAATTTCCTCATGTCACAGAACTTCGATATCCCTTTAATTTAGGTTGGAGTATTGCTGGCTCAAATCGGAGAATTTGCATTTGTCCTCTTAAGTCGTGCATCAAATCTTCATCTTGTTGAGGTTTCTCTCTCTCTCTCTATATATATATATATATATATATGTATCTATATATAGATATCCACACACGTACACATATCATGCATATTATGTACTTACATGTGTACAAATGTGCACACGAGCATTTCTCATGTTCAAATGTATTCCAATTTGTATTTCTTTCTCAAAGCTTGATTTCTGCAATATTTGGTTTATTTCTTCTGCTTTTCTGAATAATGGTAAATCTGCCATTCATCCATAAACAAATCATGAGGGTCTCATGATGACTTACTTCGGAAGCAGTTCTATGTGTCTGACATGTGTAACTATCACCTAGCAAACTTGCATTTGACAGTTATTTACGGCAAGATCAAGACAGTTTAACCTTGTGGGTCTACAGGGATGAAAATTTCATAGTAATATAATAATACAAATGATATACAATGGTATCTTTCTTCTCATGCAATTCATCATCTTTTGCCATGTCCATTTCTTGGCAAGATCCAAGACACATTTAACCTTGTTGGTGTAAAAGGATGAAAATTTCCTACTATATAATGCTTCAGATGATATATAATAGTTTCTTGCTTCTCATGCGATTCATGATTCTTTTGCCATTTTCATTTCTCTTAGAGCTTAAACTGCTTAAGTTGCTAAGAATATTTTTACAATGTCATGATAATTATCATTGCTGTGGGCTTAATTAATTGATTTCATTTGGTTGATGTGGTAGGGAAAGATATATCTTCTTCTTCTTGGAACAACAGCTCTGAGTCTGGTAAGTTCATTCCATATTTAATTGGATTAGAAGTGTTTAATACAGTAAAAAAAATGAAAAACTAGCTGCAGTCTATCTGGATGAATTTTCATCATAAAACTTGGTGTTTCTAAGAGAGTATTTGACTTTTAACTTATTTCTTGATCAACATGGTCGTATAAACTTTCTAATGAAGTTCTAGTTTATTTATGTGTTTGGTAAATAACCAAAAGCTTGTAAGTCAGACAACATAAATTCTTAGAACATCGTGTTTAAAAAATTGTTGATTCTCAACTTTTATTTTAGGGAGCTTATAAGCTCTCTAAACAATGTAGTTGTTGACCCAGCAAAGTACTAAACTATTTAACAAATTACAAATTCTGATCATTATTCCTTAAAAATCACAAGGCTGTTATTTTGCCTACTGCTTTGTCACTCCTCCACATGGACCAGATTATTCCTTAATAGATTAATTATTAATATTTTTTAATTTTATCAAATTAAATAATAGATAATTCTCAAATTATTTTTAACATAATAATCAATTCAAATTAATTAATGAAGTATTAAGTTTTGGCAAAAGAAGTAATCTTCTAAATACAATTGAATTTTTTTTTTGGGTCAAACATGTAAATAAATTAATATAGTTTGTAAACTTGTGTTAGCAAAATACTTCAAAAGCTTATTTTTAAAAAGCTATGTTAACTTATATGTAGTTCCTATGAAGTATGTTGAACTGAGCATTCTCTAAAGATTGTTATTGCATGCATACTTACTACTTTACTAATTGAAATTTTTTAAAATTGAGGTATTCCTTAAAAGAATTGAACTTTTTGAATATATTTAAGATAGTTTGTTTTGGTAACATGCATTACTAAACTAATTGAACCTTTTTTATTGTAAAGATATATTAGGTAGTGTGAAAATGCATATAATTTCGCTCTTTTGGCTGAACCATTTATACTGGAAATGTTGTACAGGTTACTACTCCTCTCCTGTTCAAATTGATACCAAATGTAATGAACTTGGGTATTCTTTTGCAATGGTTCCCCACAGAAAGCAACAATCAAAATGAGGTCCTTCCCTCTCTCTCTCTCTCCCTCTCTCTTCTTCTTTCCTCTCTGCACAGATAACTTGGTGCTTTTGCACCTTCATGCATACAGATGGACGATTTGGCATGTCCACTGAGGAAAAATTAAATTCTGTTTGTTCATGATATAAAGTTTTAGGTTTTATTTTCTAAATGTTATGTGTTTAATATGAAAAGATATATATATATATATATATAGGTGTATGTAGAGTACTCTACTACTAAAAGAACAGCTCTGGAAGAAATATCAAACAAAAGTTATTTGTTGGTTTCAGATTCTCAAGCATTTTTTAGAGACTAGCCTCTGATGTCTACCCAAACATTTTCAAAAACCTGCCTGGCAGGCTATTTTGGATGTGGGTTATATACTCATTTTCTATGCAAAATTATCTTTTATATTGCCATCTGCGTTAGCTAGAGTACCTTAAGTTATACTAGCTGAAGCATTTTGAAGAGTATGATAATCTACTTATTTATCTTTCCAGGAGAAAACTTCTATGATTGAAGCACATAACAGAATATTGTGATGCACCACGATATGACATCTCTAGACAGTAAAGGAGTCTACAACTGAGGTTTCCAGTGATTTGTGAATATTGCGGGTTTCCTGTGTCTGCTAATTCCATTGCTGAAGTCACAAATGACATGCCAACACTTACATGTTCCTTCAGAAGGCAACTCTAACATCTCAGGGCACGTATCTTTCCAACATTCCTGAAGTTCTGTAAATATAATTTGGTGTTTTAGCCTCTTCATTGTTCAAGCTAATCTATTCGGGGCGTAGTACCCTAAAATATCCTTGGATCATTCCCCTATACCATCGATGCAACATCATAGATCATATAATTTTGGTTTCTTGAAGGAAGTTATTATAGATAGGAGATGTGGATGGTATTATATAACTGTAATATACCTTTAGATGAGAATCACAATATTATTTTGCTTTCATTTAACAAAGTTTCTGGTCAATTCAGCTGATCAAGCCATTCAGACTGTTTAGGTGATCTACTTCTTTTTCTCTATTCCTTTTACCGATTGTGATACTGGAAGACTCAGAAATTTGAGGATCAGAAATTTGAGAAATTTGAGAAATTTAATTATCACAGAACCCAAACCAGTTAACTACTGTGATTTATACAACAATGTTAACTAAAATGTTATTTTAAATAATATTTTTATTAATAGAATTTTATTACAAAACAGAATTTAGTGATAAACTACAAATTGCAATAATACGTGGCTCTTCTAATTCTGTCAAAAATGAAAAGCAACTGTTAATGTGGACCCGACCCACCACAGAAACAGACTATGGGCTTGAAATTCCAAAACCTGGTAATGGCAAGCCGTTGACATGAGGTGCGCAGCGTGAAGCATCATCCCCACCGTCTAAAGTTACTGTGAAGCGAATCAGGGTGAACGTAGGAGCCAGAGTGGCGGACTCATCTGCCTGCCCGGTACCTTTTTACAGGTATGCATCCGAAGCATCTCGTGTTCGATTTTCTTCCTCGAAAGACAGTACACTTCTCTTTCTTTTGCTAACAGAAAAGCAATATTATTACATAATAAGAAGCAGCAGGTTCTCTTCTTTGTAGAGAGAGAGAGAGAGAATGGAAGGACAAGCAGTTGCAAAGCTTCGGTGCCAGCGAATCGGCTGCGACGCCATGTTCACCGTGGATGATAATCCTGAAGGCTCTTGTCGGTACCATGATTTGGTTTGTCTTTTTCTTTTCTTTCTTTTCCTGATCTCGACATTGCTTTTCCTCTCTCTGGCTTGCTCGCTTTAGATTTAAAATTCTATATTTAATTCTTCCAATGTTAACTTAGATTGAGTGTGATTGTAACTCTTGGTTCAAAATTTTAGTGTATTCACAAAGAGATGTAGCTTCTATTTCTTTTTAATTTTGCTGATATGAAAGGGCGAGGTCACAGTTGAGTACTTGTTTAGCTTCATTTAGAGCTCAAAATATAAAGAGAGAAAGTCAGAAAGCGATCAACAAATAAAATCGTTGAAGATAATGTGAAGTTGCTCTATCTTTTGAAAAAAAAAAAAAAAAGGCTATGTAGACTTGGGTCTGAAAATAAATTTTGCAACTGGATATTTGTAATGTATATCTGCTTGATACTCTTAATTTTATCAGCTTAGACTTCGTCCAATCATGTTCTTAGCTTTATCTTAAACTAACTCTCTGTTTCTTGCATTATCGGGCTTCATTTCACTGCATGGACCACTTCTTTCGATCAGGGAGTGAGTTGAAATCTCTCTTGAAATTTTTTGATGTTTTTTCTGGCTATCATTTTATGGGTGCTTAAGTTTATAATCCCACTGTGCAGCCTATATTTCATGATGGGATGAAAGAGTGGAGTTGTTGCAAGAAAAGAAGTCACGATTTCAGCCTATTTTTAGAAATCCCAGGGTAAGGCCCTCAAAGTTTATTTCAGATGCATGTCTCTTCTTATGAAATTTTCATTTTTGAAATCCCAGGGTAAGGCCCTCAAAGTTTATTTCAGATGCATGTCTCTTCTTATGAAATTTTCATTTTTGGATCCGGGAATAATTTGTGTTTGCCACTAAAACTACTTCATGGTTTACCATGTTCAAAATTGGAGAGTTGATTCTCCTTGAAGCTTAGTCTATATGCTGTAAATTAACATAGGTGAACCAAAAATATCACTGCATCCTTTCACTTGAATGCCCATAGGAGCTGGCTAAACTTCTTGTTAAATTTTACTCTTCTTAATTAGTCTCAAATTAACCTGTCTGCCCTTGTTTATATATTTACCTGTTGCCCTGGTTCTTGTCAAAGCTAACATTTGCGTATTTGACATCTAGTGTACATGGTATTTATGGTGAATGCATGTTCAACTATCCTTTTTATCATTTTCAGATAAAGAAGGATATATTACCCCTCTCCTGATTTGAGGCAACTTACTGGTGAAAGTTATTTTGTTTGTAGCTTTTAGTTACTGTGAGTTTTTTGCTTACTCTGATCTTGAAGGTGGACCATGTCATGTGCTATAGTGAAGCCATTTTATTTTTTCTTTTTGATGGTTCAATTCTTTTTCATTGTGAAACATCATATGGCTGAACATTGTAATTCCTACCTATTAGGGCAAAGGGAGGGAGCATGTCACTTAATGGTCAGAAGAAATACGTGTGTCAAATTGGATATGATCCATAAAGTTCTGTTACTATTTGGGCATGAATTGGGCATCCTTTTTGTTGAAGCTGCTCCCACATGCAGTGCTTTCAACTTTTTCATTACTCTAATTTGGATTTCTGTTTTTGCCTTTTGGGACATAACTTTCTTTGTTGGTGAGCAGAATATTGTCCTGTCGTCCTGCTCACTGGTATTAATCTACAAAGAATATGCCAATGAAATGTCATGGTGTTAGTACTGCTTACTATGCTGCTTATGTTAAGAAACTTGCTACTATTGTGGAAAATATTACATCTTTGATTATCTATTTAGGTTGTTCCACGATTGTCGCTTAAAGATTTCTTACCTTTCAATGAAGATGTAAGACAGGTAGACACACCACTGAGAAACCAGTGTTCACAAAAGCAGCTGCTACTCCAAGGACACCGACCTCTGTTCCTACATCAGCTACTGCCACTAATTCTTTGTCAAAAGAATCATGTTCTAGGTGCCGCCAGGGTTTCTTTTGCTCAGATCACGGTATTCTCCTTTGCATGCTCTAACTTTGAATAAATCATGCCTGATTTATATAGTTAAATTAAGTTGTTTGTGTTTGTTATGGAAGTGAACTGCTTAAGATTTTTTCTTATGCTTCATCTACCAACATGCTAATATGTCTTTGTACCCTGCGACCAGTATGAGAAAAGTCTGAATCTTTTGAAATAAATGACATAAGACATGATCTTTCTTAGTTACCATTTGGTGAGATAAGTCATGGTTTTGCAAGTGAAGCAGTTTCAGCTCAGTTCTGATGTTATATACAACAATATTCTTGTTTTCTAATTCTCGATGCAGGCCATGAAAGTTCCATGATTTTAAATCTTATCCTGCTAATTTTATGGAGAAGGTATATTTAGTAACTACTTTGATCTTACGGTTGTTAGGGCAGGTGTATTCATCATTTAGATCCCTAACCATCCTTAGTCATCTCCCTAACTTTGAATTTGTTTTTAGACCACCAAATAATTGGAGTCAAGCTCAAGGAATCTATCATACTGACACATTATCAACATTGATATATTCCTTAGTTTTGGTAAGGAGGCTGGAGATTTAACTAATGTGAGATAACTGTGAACAAAACCTTATTGCTTTACAGTTGGCCTTCATAGTTCCTAGTGAATGTTCTATAAGTTGAAGAAGATCATGTTATGCAGGTTCACAGGCCAAAGGACTGAACTCACAGCCAACAAATGCAGCCACCAATGTACCAGCAGAAGGCAGTGGAGATGTTAAGCCATCAGTTGCACCAGTGAGAAAGATAATTGATATAAACCAGCCTCAGATTTGCAAAAATAAAGGTTGTGGAAAAACTTTTAAGGAAAAAGAAAATCATGAAACTGCATGCAGTTACCATCCTGGGCCAGCTGTATTCCATGATAGAGTGAGAGGGGTGAGATTTTTAACTGGTTTTACTCTGTTGCCTCTTGCCATGTTTTTGTCAAACACTCTGTTTAAAGCAAATCTTCTTCTGTTATGTGCTTATTTTGCAGTGGAAATGTTGCGATGTTCATGTGAAAGAATTTGATGAATTCATGAGCATTCCCCCATGTTCCAAGGGATGGCACAATGCTGATCCAGTGTCCTAAGAAGTGGATGCAAGATAAAATCTCAGCTCTCTTTTTCAATTGTCACTCCTATCGGAATTTGGAACTGTGAATTTGAAACAGTTTTGTTTGGATATTTTCTGTTCGACTTTGCTTATGGCTTTATAGTCTCCCCCACCCCCACCACCCCCTTCCCTATCCAATTTGTTGTGGACTTGTTTAATATATATATATATATGTGAAGGTAAAGACCTGCATTTTCATGTTTTCTGTATAACTATTACCTATATTATAAAGATGCTGAAACTTTGTTGATATGGTGACCGGTGAAGCAACAAGGAGCATTCTCTTCTTAACACCTGAAGTGCGATGTACAGGTTGCAGCTCTGCATTTTCCTTGTATTTTTCTTTCACTTTTCAGTTTAGATCTCATTATAGAACCCTTCTTTAGCTAAAGAAACTGGTAGACCTCAACATCTTGCATTTTGTTTTTCACCTCTCCTACATATAATTGTGTAGCGCTTGGCCATGTCCAATGATATCGTATTCCTGCCCCAAGCTCAAATGCATGCTGTGAAGATGTTTAGTTTCAAGTATCCAACTAAGATGTATTCTGAACTGGGGGTTCGTTTCTAAATAGATACCATAAATGAGGTTCATTTACTCAAAAATAGAACTTGGAACTATTACTTACTAAGCTCGGATATTTACATCTTAGGTTGGAATAAATTAAGGGTTGTCATCAAATCCATACGAAGATCCATGTCCGATTAGAAAAATAAAGTTGTAAAGAACAAATTGTTAGAATTAGAAGGAACCAGGGATTAAACCCTGTTTACACTTGGGATGGAAAAAATTACTATTCCTCCTTATATAAATTTATTAGTTGGGTGAATCTTTTGATGGGTTCGAATTTTGCCTGAGTAGTAGTTCAATTATTAGATGTCAAGGAGTAACCCCCCCCAGATCTGCATACTCGCAATCTGATTTCTTTGTTTTATTGGCGTAAAGGGAGATTTACGTTTTCCTTTTTAATTTCAAAATGGTGTTTTCTTTTTTGAAAAGAAAATCATGATATTATTCCCATTAAAAAGCGATGTGGACAAAATGCCGCAATTGTGCATGGGAATTTGGTCCTCCGGGACCAATTCAACTGAGGGTGTGTAACTATAATTTTTCATTTATTATTATCGTTATTACATGTATACCTATTATATTAAAAAAATATTCACTTGTCTTATGTTTTAATTTATGAATTTGAATTGTCAATAAAAAAATATATATATATATATATTGAGATAGACATTCATGAGTGAAAAATTATCGAGATCATTCGACATTTAAACATAAAAATAGAAATTTATAAACAGAGAAAAATCAATATTCGTCAATCTAATAATATATTTATTTTTTTTTACGATAAATATGTTAAATCTTGATATGTCAATTCTACACATTGTCTAATATATTTATAAAATAAATATTTTTATAAAATAAATATTTAAATCTACATGATTAATTTATAATAAATTACAATAATTAAATTTATTAAATTAGTCGATTTTTTAATTAATTATAATAAATAAAATACTAATTAAATAAAAATTTTACGAGATCATTATAAAAAAATAAAATTTAAATTAATAATTTTAAAAATTCTTTCAAAATTTATTTTTTAAAAAAATGAAATACTCCCAAATAATTACATCAGCAAAAAATAAAGAAGATTTTATCATCATAATATCATATTTTATATTAATTAATCACAAAATATCACTATTTAAATAGAAAATTAGTGGGTCATCCGAGATAAAAAAAATTTTAATATCCGAAAATTTTATTTTTTGAAAAAAAAAAAAAAAGCTCCTGTTACTATTAACTTTACTTTAAAATTATAATATCCAAAAGGCTCCTGCCAATAAATTCTCATGAAAATTATCACAAAATTTCGGATCCACCTGTTTCCAAAATATTTAAAATTAATACCAATAAATTAAATAATAATAATAATAATAATAGCAAACAGGAAACGTTAGAGGTAGCCGTCAACAACTCACGGGACCTGCGATGTGCGTAATGAATCCTCCTTTATTTCCCACGGGCCCCACTCCGTCATCTTTTTTTATAGTATTCGTTTATCTGCCCCTACAAACCCCAGACCTTCTCCGTTGACCCCTCCGCCACTCCCTTTGTATTTTCTTTTTGCAATTTACTTGTTTTTTTTTTTAAAAAAAATTTATTATTAAAAATTTAATGCATGCGTTATTAACCGTACGTAGTGAAATAATATAATATATGTTTTTATTAATATTCATACATGTCACCGTAACTATCAAATCATTTTATTATTTGTTAATTTCCAAAGTCCAGTAATAATATAAATGTACATAAAAATACCCTTTTGGTAGACTATATAATTTAGACCCCGCACTATGGTCAAATGAAGGTAATTTATATAACCATATAGTTAGAAGAAATTATATGGCAATGATTTATTATGTGTATTTTTTTAATTAAAGCTGATTTTATTTGGAGCTTGGGGTGTGTATCAATCAACCCACGTGGAAAATATATTGACAAAGAAGATAAACATAGAATCTCACTCAATCATTACAGACCAGTTCAATCTCAACCATATAGTACATATTATTTACGAAAAATTATTTATATTTGATTAAAAATACTATAATATATCTCCGCTAATTGGAATAAATTATAATTTGAAGCATTAAATGATGTAAAATAATTTAAATATTTTATTTCGAAATTAAAAATAATAAGCATTAAAAAAAGAAACAGTACATAGTTTATGATTAAAAAAAATAAGATTATAACGGACTCCGCTCACCAAAGGCAGCACAGTATTCCTCCTAGAAAGCTAAAATCACATCAGTCTTAAAAACTTTTTGAGACCCAATATTAAATGCCTCGCCCGTGCGGGGCCCACCTGTGTGTTTATCTTCTGGAGGGTGCGTGTAGTGTGGGCCCGTAACTACGGTAAGGCCGGTGGTACAGCTGACGGCAAATAGCCGGCGGATAAGTCGCCGGATGGGTTCGACATTTCCTACTGCTGCAGCCAACCCCGGCTGTCCGCTTTACTGAGGCCGATAGACCCACTCATATTTTGCCACGTGTCGTTGGAGCTTTGATTTGATGGTAGCTCTGTTCACCGTCCCCGCGTCAGCTTAGGTGTAGTCTAGCCTAGCGACTGAGACGCGCTTTAAACATTCTATGTTACCAGGGGGGGTTTACTCAGACCAGTGTGTTATTAATAAGATTTTAATGAACTAGAATTTTATATGGAAGTAGATTTTGTCACTGTTCTTACGTAATATTATTTTTAAAAAATAAAATCGGATTTTTAAGCTTTTTTTTTTTATATATATATATTATTTTAAAAAAAAGAAAGGGAAGCACCCGGCCAGCCACCTCTACTCCAACAAACTGTTTGGTTGGCAACAGACAAGGCGAGGGCATTGCGGTAAATACGCACATGACAAAACTTTTATCTCCCAAAACAGTCTTTGGGGGAACCAACAAGAAAGGTCAAAAGATCATTTCATCAAACGGCTACGGATTTTTACCCATCCGGTACTGGGGTCCACTATCCCAATAAAGCAGTGGGCCCCACACCCGCGTAATATAGTATAGACATGACAGGTACTTTATTTTTTTTTCCCGTTCTTTAATTTAGAAACTATGTGAGATTATAATTCAACCATAATAATAAATAATTAAATAAAAAATAAAAAATCAAGTGGGCTAAGAAGAAGCATCATGAGCCAGGCTTTATACGAAGCTTGGCTGTATATTGCTAAAGTGCTGATTGTAGCAGCCTGCAGATTTCTGCGTCTGCCCTCTTCTCAGCCCTTTCTGTTTACTCCTATTACTATCATTATTATTTGCTCTTTCGAATCCATCTACTTTTTATTTATTTATTATTCTTCCAATAATTTGTGTTGTAAGGATATATATATATTTTTAAAGTAATAATTACTCATAACTGTTTTCTACTATTTACCCATTTAAAGCAAAATAATTATTTAAATATAATTTTTACGTATTTAAAAATTAATAAATATTTTTAAAACTAAATTTCCTGCGGTATTTCTTTTATTATTATTATTATTATTATTAGTCAGTTATAAATTTCCTAAGATCATTCAAGTCTTTTTGGATAATAATTGAGAAAGCTTTTGTGGCACTCCCGTATCATGCAAACGGGAGTGGACTGAGCAAAAACAAGCGTGGATATATCAAAACCAACAAACATTTTGCATGGGCCACCCACCTGTCTCAGTTAATCCTTAAGCAACGAATTAATTTTCTAAGAAAACAAGGCTATTATCAACACGCGGCTCTGACAATCTTCTCTACTTCACGACGCTTCGTACCTCGTCATGTGTATTCAATCAAACGGGCCAGATGATCTGGGTCACTGATTCTACCCCGTTTGATCAAAGCACGACGAACGCTCTTTATGGGAGCGCGTGGGTGACGGTGAAGGAATTATGCTTGCGGTAAAAGATTAAACCGCTTTGGGAAACGGAAGTACGAATGACGGCTGCTGCTTCCCCATCAATCAGAATTCAGAAAACATTATTTTCGTATATTTTTCCACAGTCAGCTCTTAACGTCGCTTCACCGCCGTTTACCCTTGTCCTACTATTTCTTCTCTTTCTCTCTCTCATCCTCTCGGCTTCTCGCTCTAGAGTCTACGCTCTTCACACTCTCTCTCTCTCTCTATCTTCTATTTCCCTCTCTTCATAACAGCTCTGTTCTCTGTTCTTCCTTGCAGTTCACGCGAAACGCCTGTGCTGTTTCTCTCTCTCTCTCTCTCCTCTAAGTAATGGCAGAGAACACCAGCTCAAGCTTATTGTCCGTCGCGTTCTGAATCGGAGAGACCTTGCATTGGTTTGTTTGCACTTCCTGTCCGGTTCTGTTGTAATATTGCGAGGATTTTTCTTTGCGCATGGAGTATGGCGTAAGCTTGATGGAGAGGATGAAGCAGAAGGAGCGACTTCTGTGTTTAGCAATTCTGGTGCTAGTTTTTCTTTGTCCTCTTGCTTCTCCCCTTGCTGACGAAGGTTATCTTCTCTTCTAATCTGCGGTTTTTTTGGGCTCAGGAAGTGGAGTTGTCCACCTTTTCAATCTTTGGTAGTCCATTGTTGGTTTTGCCTACTATGGAGAGTTGTTTTGGAGCACAAAGTTTGTGAGAAATGTTTGGAACTATAAGGTTTTAATATGTCCACCTTTAATTGATTGGACTTGCCATTCGGTTCCAGGGCAGTAAGGTCTTGAATGTAGTATCTCGGGCATATTTTTTTCATTTACTTGGGTTTGGAAAAAAACGGTGACAAGAGTACCAGCCGCTCTTTGGCTGTCGAGAAAATTTTAGTAGAAGCTGAATTATTCGATTGTTGAAGGCTTTTTAGAGTTATTTAACCTACAGATATCCGCCGTGCTTTTTAAGTTTCATGACTAAGACCTAACTAGAAAACGATAGTATTCTTATTTTGTTAGTTAGAAAGCAATAGTTTGCCTTAATCATGCTGAGGCTTCCTTAAACCGAAGGCTTTTTTGCAGGAAAAGCCTTGATGTCAATAAAGGCGTCGTTCAGTAATGTGGCTAATGTGCTCTTGGACTGGGACGACATTCATAACAGTGATTTCTGTTCATGGCGAGGTGTTTTTTGTGATAACGTTAGTCTTTCTGTGGTTTCCCTGTAAGATTCTTCTCCAATTCATTGCTTTCTCTTTAAGCGCAGCGCCATGCCGCGGTGTTCTCCACACCAATCAATGGAGGTTGACCAAATTCTGTTTATGATAATTTCTTCTCGAATTTCTTGTGAAGGAACTTGTCCAATTTGAATCTGGGTGGGGAGATTTCGCCAGCCGTTGGTGATTTGATTAACTTGGAGTCAATGTACGTTATCTATTTACCTTCATCTGCTTAGAGTCGGTTTTAGTTAGTCTATAAGTTGACTGTTGCTCTTACAGCTGTGGTTTCTTTGATGTTTTGAATATTATTGACAGAGATTTGCAAGGGAATAAATTAACCGGTCAAATTCCTGACGAGATTGGGAACTGCGCTTCGCTTGTTCATCTGTAAATCCTCACTTTTTCAAATTAACTGTTTACTCTTTTTCTATTGTTCTTGGTTATTCTCCTTGTTTTTCCTGCGATTTTTTTATTGAAGTTTTGATTTGCGTCGAACTTTATGCAGGGATTTCTCTGATAATCTTTTATATGGAGACATACCCTTCTCAATCTCTAAGCTCAAGATGCTCGAGTTCCTGTGTGTTTTACTTAATATCTGTGGATTTTGTTACTCTGTTTTGCTTTTGTTTAAAGATCAGCTAGATGATTCTCTAATATTTCAGGAATCTAAAGAACAATCAGCTGACGGGTCCTATTCCGTCGACCTTAACGCAGATCCCTAACCTCAAAACACTGTGAGTTTCTTCATTCTATAAAAACTTATACATGTGCTTCTGAGTGGTGCTCAGTAACTCATTCACAGTCTTTCAGTGACCTTGCCCGAAACCAGCTCACGGGTGAAATTCCGAGGCTAATTTATTGGAATGAAGTTTTGCAATATCTGTAAGTTGGTCATTAATATGCTCTAAAATCACCCCTGGTTAGTTTGTCTACTCGTGGCATAGCAAAAAAAAAAAATGCAAACCTAGTGGAAAGATAAGTATAATTATTTTTAGATATCGTTAAGCCTCACTTTTCATTGTTTATACTTTACAGTGGTTTACGTGGGAATTACTTAACGGGTACACTCTCCTCTGATATGTGCCAATTGACTGGCCTATGGTATTTGTAAGTAGTAAGATTTTGATTATATTTTCATTTCCATTTTTCAAATTTAGAGCTTTTTTTTAGGAACATGTAAGATACTTTTTTTTATTAATTTCCTAATTTCAGTGATGTTAGAGGCAATAACCTAACTGGTACAATCCCGGAGAGCATTGGCAACTGCACAAGCTTTGAAATCCTGTATGTCTCTTTTTAGGTTAAGTTAGATAATCATACCAGTTTACTAATAGTATTGTTGGTGATGTCAGGGATATATCTTACAATCAGATTACTGGGGAGATACCTTACAATATTGGGTTCTTACAAGTTGCTACGTTGTAAGTTCTCCAGTTGATGCGTTCACAGGGTTGTATTATTTATGCTCTTATGGTTGCTGCTATGTGGAACCTGCATAACTATCATATAATTCTCGATATACTGATTACGTCTTCATTTCCTGACAGGTCACTTCAGGGAAACAGGTTAACTGGGAAAATTCCTGAGGTTATTGGTTTGATGCAGGCCCTTGCTGTTCTGTAAGGATAATTTTTTTTTCGTTAAACAAATTAGAGAAAATTTTGTTAAACTTATTCCTTGGATTGTTTCTAATTAGATAATTAAATTTTTCTCACGTTACACAAGGGATTTGAGTGAGAATGAGCTAGTCGGACCAATCCCTCCAATACTTGGAAATCTGTCATACACTGGGAAATTGTGAGTTGATTTCCAAAGGTGCTGTAGGTTGCATTTTTTTGTGTAACTCTCTTCTCATATCTATGCTCGCAATGCTACTTCAGGTATCTTCATGGTAACAAGTTGACCGGACCTATTCCTCCAGAGCTTGGCAATATGTCGAAACTTAGTTACTTGTGAGATGCCTTCTTACTGTTATATATTTCCCCTAGCTAACCCGCTTACTCGGTCATTCACCACTTGCATGCAGACTGAAAAATAAGAATTAAGCTGTAACTTTAGTAATTGATTTTCAGGCAACTTAATGATAATGAACTGGTTGGTACAATTCCTGCTGAGCTTGGGAAGCTTGAACAGTTGTTTGAATTGTGAGTCCTAATCCTATGTGCAAAATTGTATTTCACTAATCTAAATAAGGTAAAGCTTTTGCGTTTTGTTAATAATCTATATGTCAATTGTACTCAGGAATCTTGCAAACAATCATTTTGTTGGACCTATTCCATATAACATCAGTTTCTGCACAGCTTTGAATCAGTTGTACGTATCACTGGAATCTCATATTTACTTATTTGCTGGTAGACTTTGTGTTTTTGTTTCTTCATGTGTTGAAATTTCTTTTGTTTTTTAGTAATGTGCATGGGAATCACTTAAGTGGATCAATCCCATTGGGGTTCCGTAATCTGGAAAGCTTGACATATCTGTAAGTTTTATTCCACTGGGCATGCTAATGCTTCGAATAAATTAGCATTGAAAATGATCCTGTTGGTTGAATGTGTCTTCTGTTATGATTGGTGTTGATATTTTTTTATGTGCAGAAATCTTTCAGTGAACAATTTCAAAGGAAAAATACCAGTTGATCTGGGGCGTATTATCAATCTTGATACGTTGTAAGTTTCTGAATTGGTTCCCTTACGTACTTTATGTATCTGGTTGGACTGAAAAAATTGTTTATGTTTTTAGGGATCTATCTGGCAATTATTTTTCGGGACCTGTACCTGCTACAATTGGTGATCTGGAGCACCTTCTCATATTGTAAGCTTATATTTTATTTATAGTTTTTCCTCAAATCTCCTCATCGATTTTGTTTAAAATAATCCCAATTTCTGATTTACATTTATGTAGGAACTTAAGTAGTAACCATCTTGATGGACCATTGCCTGCAGAATTTGGGAATCTTAGAAGCATTCAAACAATGTAAGCTTTGATCCAGATAAATTTATAATCATAACTGATGTTTCCTGAGTTCCTTTTTTTTTCTTTGCAGTGATATGTCCATCAATAATCTCTCTGGTAGTATTCCAGCTGAAATGGGCCAACTGCAAAATCTTGTTGCTTTGTAAGTTCACAATCTGATCTCTTTATAAAGGTTGATATCACCAATTTAGTTTCTGTTTCAAATAGTTAATTTCTTACATATAAAAAAGCAAGGCCAATATTCAGCAGGGATTTTTGAGAAGATCAGATTTTTGATTGCGAGAAAATTCCAGAGAAAATATTTGATCGGAGAACCTCAACTTTTCTCTTAGAAACAAAGGTTGATATTGATACTAAGATTAGTATAAATATTATACTGGAGTTAATAATTATCAAATAATTGACAATTAATTTAGGGTCTTTTTGTTTTGCTAATCATCAAGATCAAGAAATCAAACCTTCTAATCCAAGAAGTTCCTTTCTTGATTGGACGGGTCATGAGAATGAATGAAGAAGTACTTAGTTGACTGCATGTTCATAGTCTTAAGTCTACTACCTTTACAGACTTGAATTACTGGCAGGATACTGAACAATAACAACTTGCATGGACAAATCCCGGATCAGATTGCCAATTGTCTGAGTCTTTCTTTTTTGTGAGTTTCTTTATCTTGTGACTCTTATGCTTGTAAATATAGCTCATGAACCCTGTGTGAATGACAGTTTTTGCAAATTTTAGGAATGTGTCCTACAACAGCTTGTCTGGGGTCTTACCTACCATTAGAAACTTCTCGCGTTTTTCACCAGATAGGTATGACTTTTTTTTTTTTTGAAAGGTTCATATCTTCCTCAAATTTGAACTTTACCAATTTGTATTTCCACATGTTAGTTTCATTGGGAATCCTTTGCTATGTGGAAACTGGTTGGGGTCAATATGTGGTCCATCTTTTCCAAAATCGCGAGGTGATTATGATTTCACAGCTGTATTTTTGTATCCTGATGTCCATTGCTCTGGGAACATGAGTCGGGAACATTTTCTCAATATTAATAAGCTCTATGTCTTTCCAGCAATATTATCCAGAGCTGCTGTTGTTTGTATGACATTAGGCTTCATAGCACTGTTATCTATGGTCATTGTTGCGATTTACAAATCCAACCAACAGAAGCAAATGATGAAGGGTTCCATGAAGGCTCTGCAAGGCATGTGTATCAGTTTTGCTTTTTCTTTTGTCCATTCATAAAATGTTGTGAGTATTTGAAATGTTCAAGGAATGTTTTTTTATTTTCCAGGTCCTCCCAAGCTTGTGGTTCTACACATGGATATGGCTATACATACATTTGATGATATTATGAGAATCACAGAAAATTTAAATGAGAAGTTCATTGTAGGATATGGTGCTTCAAGCACAGTTTACAAGTGTGCATTGAAGAATTCCCGACCAATTGCAATTAAGCGACTCTACAATCAATATCCACACAATTTACGGGAGTTTGAGACTGAACTTGAGACCATTGGCAGCATCAGGCACAGAAACATTGTAAGCTTGCATGGTTATGCCCTTACTCCTAATGGAAACCTCCTATTCTATGACTACATGGAAAATGGTTCTCTTTGGGATCTTCTGCATGGTAAAGTTAAACTTTCCCTTCAGATTTAAAATGTTTCATGACTTAATTAATGAGAAGAATTACTGGGTGGGAAGATCCTACCATTTTCACTTGCCATAATATTTCATTAACAATTTCTTTTTGTTTCTATAATTTTCGGTGGTTATTTGTTATGACAGGTCCAGGAAAGAAAGTAAAACTTGACTGGGAAACTCGCTTAAAGATAGCAGTTGGTGCTGCTCAAGGACTTGCTTATCTTCATCATGATTGTAACCCTAGAATTATTCATCGGGATGTTAAGTCCTCAAATATTCTGTTGGATGAAAATTTTGAGGCACATCTCTCTGATTTTGGGATAGCTAAATGCATACCGGCTTCAAAAACCCATGCTTCTACCTTTGTTTTGGGAACAATTGGCTACATTGATCCAGAGTATGCCCGAACCTCTCGGCTGAATGAAAAATCTGATGTCTATAGTTTTGGCATTGTCCTTCTGGAGCTTCTGACCGGAAAGAAGGCTGTGGATAATGAATCTAACTTGCATCAACTGGTACATTTCTTGGGACATGTTTTATGTTATATTTTAACCAAAATCTTTGTCAGAGTGGATGGATTGTAACTTTTGAGAGTTTTTTATATTTATTTCAGATATTGTCAAAGGCTGATAATAATACCGTTATGGAAGCTGTTGATCCTGAGATTTCCACTAAATGCATGGATTTATCTCATGTGAGAAAGACTTTCCAACTTGCATTGTTGTGCACCAAGCGCCTGCCCTCTGAAAGGCCAACCATGCATGAAGTTTCAAAAGTTTTGGTCTCCCTTCTTCCTGTTGTTCCTAAGAAGTCTTGTTCAGCTCCGGGAAAGCCCATTGATTATACCAAATTTGTGATTGACAAAGGACACCAGGGGCAACCGCAGCAAGTTCAACTGGAAAATAATTTTTCTGATGCTCAATGGTTTGTTAGATTTCGAGAAGTTATATCAAAGAACACCCTCTGAATTTGTAATTATCTTTGTTTTTCCTTTAGCGAGTGAAGGGAAAAGGAAAGAAGATTCTTCCCAAATTTTGCCTCTGGAATAGGGTGTTATTTCAGCTGATAGAAGATGAACTATGAATTTGTAAGGTTATCAGTGGCTCTCTGGGTATTCTTCTTTCTGACTGATTCACGACAGAAGGAAAGTCAAATATTCCTTCCAGACTGACGATATCTAACACATCATGATGTAAGCAAAGCTCAACTGCAAGTTAGAAAACACGAATGTATGATTTCATCTGGTGGTACACAGCTGGTATATGAAAATTAATTATGCTCAAAAATTCCTGTTTAAATGCTGTCATCAAAAATTTCAGAAGATATAGATGAAGGCTCTGAGAACCAGCTACTGAAGAATCCAACTCAGGAAATAAAGATTGGTTATTGACACTTGGGTATCAAGTGTTTGATTAAAAAATGATGTATGTGGTTTTTTTTTATTTTCTTCTCCCTGGTACCTGTATCACCAGAAAGAATAGAGAGGTTTATTAAAATAGATCTCCATTGATGTGGCTAAGAATTTTCTATGGTGCGAGCATTGAGGATATCTATGCAGATTACTAATGTATTATTATGATTGTTGTATGAGCGTACTACTAAAAGACCGATCTCTGGTTAGGATACTCATCTCTCCAAAAACTAGTTTAATTTTCAAAGTCCGAGAACCACTAGCAATTATTACTGACCAAAAAATTCTTGACAATGCTGTTGTATACCTATTCTTCTACAAATTAAATGTTTTTTGCCATTTAATTTGGGTGGTTTGCCACATTGTCCACAAAATTACTCTTAAAAGATCTGTAAAATTAGAGGGATCGATTACTTATCCTTTTATTCAACTATGACGAGGACGGAAAGACTTCTGGTAATCTTGAGCAATGTTTATCACAGTACAAGACCAGTTCGCATGATGCCAAAAGGACGTCTACCAAAAAGCCAATATAAAAAGAGGGACAAGGAAAACCATGAACTTTAAATGATTCTTAGTACGGTTGTAATGAGTAAAAAGAGAAAAGGTCCGGTTATTCTGTTGCAAAATCAACTTAGAGTAGCCTTTCTATCAAAGAAAAAAATTGAAGAGATTATTATTAGGGTAAAATACACAATTTTATTCTTGTACTTGTTTGGACTTCTAAACAAAGACTTTTAAAAAAATCTCAAAAATTTACTATACTAAATACAAATTTACAAAAATTAAAATATTGTTAGCCCCAACTTTTTGCCTTTACTATCATTACTGATATCTTTTTTCTGGTTCTATTGACTTGTAAAGGAACGAAAAAATCAACTTTACAAAATTGGACAAAAAGTTTTCGCTTCTTCTTTATGTACATCCTCTCAAGTTTACTATAACTACATCATCTATGCTTCAAGTCCTCAATTCGACTGCGCATTAGAGATGAAATTGAGAAAAAAACACTTCTCAAAATATTTGAATAAATACACTGTAATTACTGTTTTTTTTTTTGGAAATGACTATACAAACAGATATTTACCATTTATGAGTACTTTTTTTTCATGAATTTAACACAAAAAATTTGCTTGGGCAGTGGTTCGGGTATCACTGGTCTGGGTAAGAATCAAAGAAATTAAACAAAAATCATTGACCCATTCGATATAATGCGTTGTCCATCTGGCACTTGGCATATGTCCAAGCTCCTGTGACAATCAATAAGGGCATCCTAGTTTAGTGACATGAAAAGATATTAGCATGATCTGTAAAAATGAAACATACTTCTTTTTTCTCAGAACATTACTCAAATGAAAATATTTTTTGAAATGTCACATTAAATCACTATGAACCTTCTCTTTTATCTCTTTTTTTTTAATTACTTTATAGACTGCCAGTGTCCCAATTATCCCACAGTTGCGTTTTCATAGTTCTCTTTTCTCTTTTCTTTTCCAAATCAAAAGTTGCCGTGGGAGTGATGTAGAACAACCACTTACAATCACAATCACTAACTAATGATAACACCTGTTCCAGAAAAGTATAAGGGTAGAAAGAGAAGAATAGAATGGAAAAAAAGAACTTAAACAAAGATGAGAAAAAGAGAAAAATAGGTAGAAGAAAAGGGCTGAGGAGAAACCAAAACTGAAGGATGGAGCATGGTGATTTCTCAAAAAAACACCATCAATAACGTTAAATGATGGCAAAAATGAATGATAAAAGATCACAACATAGTTAGATTAGTAAGTAATTAACCTGATAAAAAGCAGTTACCACTTTTACACAAATGAAAAAGTGACATAAGCCAACTAGTATGAGTTCACGTCACCTTTGGCATAACACTTGTGAAGGATCAACAACAAATACGGCGTCACATCATTCAATCAATTATAAGATGTCACTTTATTTTAAAAAATAAAAATAAAAAATAAAATAAAACTAGTGCAATAAAAAAATTTTAATTTTTAATTTAGTTACTGTCCAAAAGAACAGTATAAGACATGAAAACACTACAATTACATCAATATTATCTCATTACTATTTTGCATTATTCTGTACTATTTGATATTTTAACTCAATTTTAAATCTTTGAAATGACGAAACGAACAAAATTATAAGATTTGAAAATTTTGAAATTTGTGATCCTCATGCAAAATTTTGAAGAAAAAGAACATGGATAGCTTGCGAATAATTTTGATAATGCCACTTTTAGTCAAGCTTCTTGAACATGTTGATAATGAATAAAGTCTACAATCTTGATGCATCTCAATTTTATCCAAACATCCGAAGCACTGAAAAAAGAAACTTGATATACTTATGTTCTCCATAATCAAATAGGTTATATGATAAATTTTATAGTTAAGAAATCATTTGACTCCATCTTAAAATATTATTTTTTAAGAGATACCAAATGCATAAGGAACAAGTGAGACATTTGAACCGGGGACCGAACCTAGAAATAAATTAGAAAACGGGAAAGAAATACAAAGAAAATATTATTATTAGGAAGAGGAGGAAGAGAGAATAAAGAAGTATAACCACAAGAATTGGAAGGGAGATATGGAACAAGAGGGGAAAGATAGAACAAAGAAGAGCCAGAGAAAAAAACGTTCATGCTTTAATGCCACTTGGTGAAGAATCACTCACAATTTACCGCTAACTAATATGGCATCAAGAATACTAGTTTGGCAAGATAAAAAGAGAAGAATATGAAAGGAAGCATGAACCAAGAAAAGGTGACAGAAAATGGAGAGGGAAAAGAGAGAAATATATAGAAGAAAGAAAGAGGGGAAGAATAAGTTGCAATGTATATTGTAAAATAATACTATTATTTTCCATTATGATTTATAGGTGCAAGTTTTAATCCCTTTTACCTTCACTCCCACCTTGAATTTTTTTTTAATGAGAGTGGAGATGAATATAAGTAAAATTCATATTGTAATTCTACATATTAAAACTAAATTATTTATATCTTTCCAATAACAAGATGCCATCTAATTCTAATAAATATTGTAAAAATATCTTCTGATACTAAAAATTCATCTTGTTTTCTTCCATTCTGCATCATAATGGCACCTTTCTCTATTCCAATCATTTCCAAATGGCTACCAAAGAAATAAAAATTTTAACAATTTACAAGTCCTCAAATGATTTGTACTTTATGATCAAACTGTCCTTAAAACATTTGTTCTTGTGAAAGTTTTCTTAAGTCTTTTTAACTGCAGGGAATATCTCCACTTTCATAATAGGATTTCTTATAGAACAGTTATCAACAGTTGGACCATAAGAGTCTGACTCATGTTTAGATCTGTAGCAAAATGCGGCTACTAAAGTCACAGACTTTATAGGTATCAATCAACTTGAGTGGGAAGAAAATACCTGTTAATGCTGAGTAGTGGTCTAATCTCCGCTGCCCTTCTGTCATTCCCACAAGGATACTGGTTTCCATGAAACTTTTCTGATTTTCCTTTGATCTTACTTATGATCTACAAGTAGGTATATAGAACTAAGATCAGAGTGGAAAACAATTGATATCCAAGTCATCAACCTAGTACGTTTATTTATTTCAGCAAATATATGATGCCAACACAGGCAGCTCAGCCTTGTGGTGACCATCAATTTTCAGCACTTCCTACAATTGTATCATCCCTTAACATGAAAAAGAATGTAAAAAATATCAATATACCTCTAGACAGGAGAAATCTTGGGCATTCTCTTTTTTTCCCTTAATTCAATCAGCAGAAGCACCCATCCATTAGTTTTTACTCGTACAAACATAATAAAATTTATATCTCAAGCTTCAGTAGTTAAAAATTTTGGACTAACCTCAGAAGGGAGATGCACCTGTGACTGAGATTTTACGTAAGAATGGGTTTCAGCTGTCAATGAGAGCTGCATATGGTGTTAGAGTAAGAGCCTATAAAGTACTACTGGATCCATATGAAATCGATTTCAACGATGATAAGTCAAGAAGAGTTTAAGTTATATTTAACCTTGCTAAACAACTCTGTAGGTGGCTCATCTTGAAAATTCTTTTCTGCCGGAAACTCCATTCCCTACGAGGAAAAAAAAGCATGGTGTAAAGAGTATCTTAAACAGCTAAAATGTAAAACATAATAATTGATGTCTTGAGCCATATATTATCAATGGGAGACTATTTTACAGCTTGATATTCTAGAAAAAACCAATTTTTTTTTTTGCTTGAAGAAAATTGCACTTAGGCAAATATGTATCTTCAAATATCTTATTATAGGCACAAAAATATTCAATCCAATTAAAAGGAAAGAGATCATACTGGCGGCACCTTCTTGTTAGGAGAGGAAGCTTTAAAATTGAGAATTTGGCTGGTTTCAAATTTGTGAGTTTCTTTGCATTTCTCCTCTATTGAGGCATCTGGAGATGCGAGCCTGCACAAGAAGGTAGAATAATTTAAATACACAACCATAATCATCCTTGACAATTAAAAAATAATAATAATAATCGGAAAATTTAACAGTTTCTTCTTGCATTCACTAGGATAAAATCCACTGGCAATTGTTTACCAGGTGATAGGACTCGACAATCAAGAACTGCAAGGAAATACCAGCTTAACATTCAACTGATTACATGCACATGATGAGAGAAAAGTAACACTTTTTTTTTAAATTCGAAACTAATAGAAGTAAAAAACTAGAACTTACTTCCTGGAGCTTTGGATTTCTATCTGTGAAATAGAACTGCTACCTGGTGCACTCCCTGCTTGCAACCGCAAGAATGTTGACTTCCAACAATAAGAAAATGTAAAATCATCACTAGCGTCAAGTAGGCAGTATGAAAAGCAGAGTTAAACTGCATGACAGTAATAGAACTAATCATGGAAAAATGCCTTTCTGGTTACCTACATTATTAGAGGCACGTTGTGTGGCCCTCTCTGATGTCCTTAAGTGGAAGACCTAAAAAGCAAGATATATGGTAAAACTGATGTCATATAGAGAATTAGGCAGGGCTTTTATTTTCTCATGACACCGAGGAAACTGCAAAAATCCAACAAGCTGGTATTGAAGTAAAGTGTGTTTATTAATTACTTGAAACTCTGTTTGCCGTGGTATACTCTTCCTAGGAATGGATAATGAAGAAGCCCCAAGAAGCTGCCAAGTCTCACAATATTTTGGTGGTTCAGAACTTAAAACTTAAATCTGTAATTTCTTCCAGAATATGTAGTTGAAAAGGAGATTCAATGTATCTAAAGAAAGTACCTACCTTTATGCTCGAAGCATGGGATTTATATCCATTTGGTTTTGCATGCTTAGCTGATTCTAAATTAACCTTGGTCCTGAAATTTAGATAATAATCTAACTATTAGAGTAAATGATATTTTTTAATAAAATCCTATTCTATCAGATTGCATGTGGGAGATGTAAATGAATTATGTGAAAGTAAGAATTTAATATCAAGTTCAAGATAAGCAAAATGAATATGGTTTCACTCTTATCAAAAATCTGTTCTTTTTTAAAAACACTTCTAGCTTTAGGCTTTTGGGCAGACTTATGTTTTCTAACAGTAAAAGTAGAACAAAAAGCTTGGCCAAACAGTCACTGCGAATCCTGTGCAGCATTGCAGGACCAAATATGTAAATATAAACTTTTGGTTCGAGAAGATAAAGAGAACAAAGAATTATATGGTGTGTTGGAGCTTTGACGACCAATTAGCAAATATCTTAATTAAGGCTCTTCCTAAAGCAAGATTTAAAGTGTTGACGAAAAAACTTGGAATGTGCAGAGAAAATCTCAAGGAGTAGTACTAGAGTTTGTGAAATAAATTTTTTCAATTAGTTTATGTGTAGGAAAAGTAAATGAATTGTCTAACTTAAGAGTTTAATTTTAGTCTAATATAAGTAAAAGGTAGTGTATATGAGAGTACACTATTGAGTGCATAAAAAATAAAATATTGAGTAGAAGAAACTGAAAGTGAGATGAAGTCTGCTAAATTAGTGGGAATAAATAGCTTCCAGCCATCGTAATGAAGTGTGCAAAAAACAAAATGCAAAAATCAATGTATTGAGAGAAGTTTTTCCTGAGAATTCTTTTTTGTCCTTCAATAGAATGATTACTTGGGCTATAATCAATCAGAAACGTTCTTGATCTGCAAATTTTAACATATTATATATGTGTGAGTGTGTGTCTGCACGGCAAAGAAACTTATTACCTGTGCCTAATTTGGGCACGATTAGCTGTTTCCAACTCTGGTTCCTTAGGAATTGTAGCTTTTGGTCTGTGATTTGTTGAATTAACATGAAGATAACCAACCTGCAAAACCAACTCAGAGATGTGCGACAACTATAACAATAATGCACATAAAAAATATTCCTTCAGTCACCATTACAGTGGTAAAATAAGTAGGCACATAGCAGTTTCTGAGAAAACCATGGCCTGTGAAATGTTAATCTTACAACTGTACTTCCTAAATAGATAATCTTTTTATGAATTTTGTCTACTAACAGGCGATTGATGATTCAGATGGACGACCTGCTTTGTAAAATAAAAGAAGTGTTCTACGGGTTCCATACTTGTGCAGATGATAGCTACAGACTTATACATGCACACTGCCTCTGTGCGTACACACACAGGTGTAAAATATATATATATATTTTTTTGAGAAGCACATAGGTATACATACCTATTCTATAAGACACATAGGTATACATATCGACACCATAAAAGCACACATGCATTTACACCCAATTTTTTGGGCGTTGAAACTTTCATCCACTTAAACCTCAGAGAAAATAAAGCTCTAAAAAGGGACACCAAGCACCTAAGACAAGTGTGTGCTTTCTTGTAAATATTAATAAAACAAAGCATCTTATAATACCATAGTGTACATTCTATTAGGAACTGTATGAATAAAGAGATCGAGAGAAATAAAATACAATCAGTACTTTTTCCTGCACATGATTTCCAGAATGCTAACGCTAGAACCTTCGCCCCTTTTCTTTTTTCAGGAACTAACTTCTTAGAACTTCCAACCCACAAATGAATTAGAAAAAGCTAAAAACAAGAATTGAAAGATTACGATTCTTTTGTCTTTAGATGCTAGAAATCTGACCATAAAAAAGAAATCAAGAACAGAAAGTAACAACAGAAATCATAACAAAGTATCTCCGTAATGATCTATAATATGCTCTATCTTGTAATCATTTAGGCCTAACTTCTTACAAAACTTTTGGTCTATAATTGAAGCTTACGATTGATTTACTGGATTCTCTATTCTAGCAAAAAAGCAGCATTCTTTGACTCATAAGAAAGAGGTAGGCATAAACACTAACACGCAACAGAATGTCCAATAAAAATCTCATTGCACCTTGCGTGAGTAACCAGCCTCCAGTTTTTGTCTTTTGGTAGCAAGGATCTGCATCAAAGAAGAATTCTGTGAACTCCAGCCATCGAATTGGCCTAATGATCTCTGGCACCTACAAGTTAGGAAGTCCATGAAAACTTAACTGAGAGAGAGAAATAACACATGAAAAGAATAAGAAAATGTATGCTTCTATAAATGATTAAGACAAAGTTCAAGACACCAAAAATGCCTATCCATTCATATAGTAAGACAAAAGAATTGTTGCTTCAACATCTTTTATAAGATCTACAATGTTGATCACATGAAATATTGCAAGAAAATGACACAAGTTGGACAATCATCCATCACCAATCAAAATTGAGCTTAACAAACGATCAACACCTTCTCAAAACGTGGCTGGAATAAACATTTAGAGGTTGATTTAACTTTGCCAGCAGACTAGCCGTTGGTCTCATCAAAGTTGAACCCTTCATTGCAGATGACTTGACTGAAGACTTCATTTTAGACCTCAAAATTTCGTCAGCCACTGGATTTGCAAATTTTGATCCTGGAGATTATAAGTTTGTCAGACTGAAAAGAAGAAAATCACGAGGAAACACCAGTAAGCTTGTTTAATTTAATATAAATGAAGCTAGATAATTTAGTCTTTTCTATTACAGTGAATTGATTGCAGGGCAAAATTGCGAGAGTTGAAAAATACTAAAAGGCAAGAGCATTATTGTAGCTATTAATATGGACTCACATATACACAAGAAAAGATTTGTATCTTTATGAGAATATCAACTTATTGCAACTAAGATAGCATTGTTGAGTAAAACAATAACATTAAATCCTTTTTTCCTATAAATACATCAAGGATTTTATTAATAACTGTAACAACAACCACAAACCTTCATGCTGCTATACAAATTCACTGCGAGATACAAGGACATTAACAATCGTCTATAGAGAGCTAAAAGTTAAGCTAAAATTAGTTTATATCCTTGTCTTAGATTCTAAGACAAAATCAATTAATTTATTTATTAACTGACATGAATGTAAAAATAAAAAAAGCATATGATAGCTTTAAATATAAACCACACTGAACTAGTGATCATCTTCAAGTACTCTATCCAATACTTGAGCACTTAAACCCTCTCATACATATACAAGAGAATAAGAAAATAAAACAAGTTACTTCTGAGATTAAAATAAGATACTGTAGAGAAAGAAGTTAAATCCCAGCACACATGAAAAATGATACCTCCGTTATGATCTAGCGCCCAAACTTGGGAATCCAGTGTGAAATCGGAGCTATTAGTTATGGAATTCATGTTATAACTTGCTTTGGATTGGGGAGAGATGCCTATGTATTCCACATGAGAATTGCATTCCAAATTCAATCTCACGACTAAAGCTGAAAATATGCAAACAACGGTTTGGAAAGAAAAGAAACAGTTAATAGCGTCCGTAATGCTGATATCGCGTTAGTTCATCAATAATAGTCATCGTACCATAATTTTCATAAAGATTCAGCAGGAAGCTGATAAACTTTGATAATAAAAAAATGCAACGAAATGGTCGACAAATGAATGAAAAATAATAGCAGGTGATCATAGATTTAGATTGGAGACAGAAAATGTAGGTCAAGTGGCTTACGCGAAGGAATGCAACTCCCTGCTGATTCGAACCAGAGCTCGGCTTCTCCCGCCTGCAAGTCTGTTTCCGGCCGAGAGAAATCATAGTACTTAGGCGCATCAAATTCATAATCAATATCAATTTCTTCAACCGAAAACCATTCTTCAGCGGTTTCTAGAATCACGTCATCCATCTTCTCTCTATCTTTCCCGGAAAAAAAAAAAAGAGAAAGAA